CTCATCACCCTCGCAGCCCTGTGCTGGACTCTCTCCAATACCGACGCCGGCAGCTGCTGGCAGGCCGTTTGCAGTCATCCTGCAGGCTGACGGGCTGTAAGCCTGCCTTCTGTGCACAGGACATGTGAATTTAAGGTCCCACCTTGCTAGGAGGTTATGCTAGTTAAAGGCTACAGAAGCCCAACGTGCTGGTTTGCAGAACTGGAGCTTCTGTTTTTCCCTCGGTAACAGAGGGACTGGATCCTGTTATCTGTCGTGTTTTTAATGCACGGTTTAGAGCAGCTACTCCTGTTGCAATCTGTAATACGGTGAAGGCAGAACAGAATGAAGTCTGGTCAAAGACAGTCAGCATTTAATATCTTAGAGACAGTCAGTATTTAATATCTTGTCAAACAGCTTCCACGTGAGTACATTCCATCGCAGCAGGTAACGCCAGAGAGGGAATGAAAAGGCGTGCCAGCTTCACAAGCCTGGTGAACAGCGTATGACTTACTGCACTTGACTCGCAGAAGGAAGCCGTGCATTACCTATAGCGTCATACCGGGCATAACCCGTTGATTAGTGGAAACAACTCCTTGCTTTAGGTTTCCACAAATCTAAAATTCCCGGAACGATAACTATTGCCAGGCAAAGCAATGAACTGGAAGGCACTCCGATTCTGAGGCTCTGCCAATATTATTATGTTAAAAGTGTATTTTAAAAATGCGTCATAAGTTGGATTTACCACTAAAGCCCCAAAGAAAACCAACTGCTTAACCGGTCACAAAATTTATGCTAGGCCAAATGTCATATTTATTTCCAAAATTATCAAATGTGACAATCTCTAAACCATTTAGCAATTAAAATACAGGTTTTTTTTAAAAATCCACTAACAGTCTTCAACATTTTAATGCTCAGAGTAACATTAAGCACTGACAAACCATACAAACAAGCCTTCAGAGATGTAGATGCTAATTCTGCAAAACTTAAAACATTAAAAACATCTGATATCAACGACACCAGCTATTTCTCATTTTGAATAGGAAAATACTTTCATTCTTGGGCATATACCAGATTTTCAAACCTGAAAATAAGCTACTAACAATTCAATTCTGATCTTATATAGCAAAAAAAATTTACTAGTCAGATATCTTTCTTGCCCTTAGTTAGCAGCTATGTTTCTTGTTTCGTGTTGTGTTTTAAAAAGAAATTTGCTTTTCAAGTCACCATGCTCCCAATACTGGATGCTATTCACAGAATGTCCCCAGAGTAGTTCCTGCAAACCACCCATTCCATTCTGTTTACAGTCACAGCCAGCAAAATATATATACATAAATGTGGAAGACTGAGATTAAGATTTAGCAGCATATTCACGAAGCCAAAATAGAGCAAATTAATATACCCAGGACCAGCAGAATCTACTCAGGCTTACTGATGTACAGAACTGCCACACTGCACAAGAGAGGGAGGATGGAAGGGTTCAGGGTTTTTGTTATTTTTTTGTTGTTGTGGGTTTTTTTTTGTTTATTTGTCTAAGTACTAGCTCCCTAGTGTTAAAAACAAGAGCTCTGGTGAATAGGAACTCTCTCAGTCTGACTGCAGAATGCTTCCTTTGTCCTTCCAGCCATTAGCAGCCTCCTCTGTGGATCCACAAACTTTTAAGTGCTGCCAGGGTAGTTTCAAATAAAGGCACAGCCCGGCAGCTATTTCCCTCCACAGCCCGGCAGTCCCTAGGTACCACAGTTTCTATCAAGACGTTACCACCTCACCACTGAGGTACCTGCCTTCCCCTCAGCTCCCCAGCTCTTCTGGGGAAGGAGAAGTGCTGTTAAGCTGAATGTGAGCACAGCAGATCCCACGCAAAGCTGCACCGCTGACTGCAACAGGAGGGATAAAGCCTTGGTGTTGCTTTCTCACCTGCGTGGGGAGGGAGGCCCTGTGTTACTACCGGCAGCTTGTTTAGCCAGCAATTTAGCCTTATCAAAAAAAAAAGCAGCTTCCTATTACTCTTATTTATACCGAATTTACCCAAGATGACAGACACATGCAAACGGCTCCTTACGGAACCAGCTCAGGTTCAGTAAGGTTTTGCAGTGAAATGCAGTATCACAAAACACAAAGCGGTGGTTTGTGAGGCCCAGAAGGCATTTAGCTCTTTTTGTGCTGCACAGAACCCTGCTGGTGAGCCTGCACGACGCTGGCTGACGCGTCCACCACCACCTGGACACCTCAGTCTCGCCTTCCTGCAACGGGGAGCGGTGCCAAACGGAATGCAGGAACTAGCAGCTTGACGCTCTCTCAGTTCTGGCCCCAGGCCAGCCCTGTAGGACGCCAGATGACTCCTGCAGAACCACAAAGGTACCTGCCTTCTGCTCTCCAACATTTCAGTTTCCTAGAAAATTTATTAGCTCTAGCACAGGACTGTACGAATGCTCAGAGCCTGTCAGGGCTGATCAGCCATCCCAGAACCTTAAAGCATTGAGGAGCATGTGCCAGAAACCAGCTGAGCAGGACCAGAGGTAACAGTGAACTGACCATATTTAAAAAACACAAAACAAGTTTTCCATTCTGGACAACAATAAGCATCGTCACAATTATATATTTTTGTAACTGCAAGAAAGATTTGCAACACAAGAGTAAGGTGAAAGAAAAGCCTCCAAAAGACTTGAAATGTTTGATGCACTTCACTTATTTTACCAGCACTTACTGATCTGCTTTAGGAAGCTCATTGAAAATCTTTTGTATGACTTCCATCCGCTTAAATTTTTCCAAATATAGTCTTTGCTGCGGAGCATCTGGTTCAAGAAACTCTCTTCCTGCCATCTTGAAGTCCTGCATCGTAAGGAACAAACAAACAAGTGTAATCAAAGTTGCACAGCCCCAGTATGTATCAAATAAACACTCAGACTCTTTTGCTACTGTGCAATCAGAAATGCATTTCCTATTTTTCATGCTGGAGTTTTCTGATGCAAAGGGCACAATCCAGCTACAGAAGTCTATGATATTTATGACTACATGAACCCTAACAAACTGCTTTCTTTAGTGATGTTGCAGCTGCGGACTGACAATTGCTCTAAGCCAACTTAAGTACTCGCTATGATGAAAATGATGGTCTCGCCCTCCAGACACTCCTGCCCAAGCACCTCCAATCCTGAGGCCATACAGCAGCTTGGATCAGGAAACACAGAGACAAAACTGCTCAGAGGAACAACGGGCAGCGTACTTGTTTTTTTCCAGCTGGATCACTTTCTATCACAACAATCTCTAAAGCCAGCAGCACAAGCAAAGACACTAACGAAACAATGGCTTTTGGCAATAATCCAGGTTTAAATTGACCTATCTGTCAAAGAGAATGGCAAGGCTAAAAAAACAAATAAACCCATATTTTGTAAAGATTTAAAGAAACCATGAAGATATCTACTCTGCTTTTATATTCCTCATGTAAGGAGGCTTTTTATCGGTTCTTCTAGCCAGAGACATGTATCAAGGCAAAAACCATACAGTTGTTTATGGTGAAAGGTTTTGGTAGCAGGGGGGCTACAAGGGTGGCTTCTCTCAGAAGCTGCAAGAAGCTTCCCCCATATCTGATAAAGCCAGTACCAGCCAGCTCCAAGATGGACCCACCACTGGCCAAGGCTGCGCCCATCAGCAACAGTGGTAGTGCCTCTGGGATCACAC